TCCATCCATCCACCCACACGTCCATCTGTACATCCATCTGTCTATCCGCCCACCTGTCCCCATCTGTACATCTGTCCGTCCGTCTGTCCATCCATCCATCCACCTTTCCCCATCTGTACAACCATCCATCCACCCACATGTGCATCTGTATATCCATCCATCCACCCACATGTGCATCTGTACATCCATCCATTCATTCACCCACCCGTTCATCCAAACACCACCCATCCTTCTGTACATCCATCTGTCCATCCATCCACTAACACATCCATCTGTACATCCATCCTCCCACCTGTCCATCCAAGCACCACCTGACCGTCCATCCAATCATCCATCCACTCGTCCAACTGTTAATCCTTTTGTGATCTCGGATTGTTCCAAAGTTGTTAAAGCTTTTGAGCACCTTCAAGGTATTTTATTTTATTTTTTTGTCTAGTTCTTGTTTTTCTTTGACCCTCTGATTACCCAGTGCACTGTTGAGCGTTTCTGACACTGATTTCTTCTGTCCTCTGTTTCCTCCACTCCACTAGTCATATCAACGAAGACAAGAGAAAGACTGAAGGACAGAAGCAAATCTTTGATGTGGTCTACGAAGTCGATGGTTGTCCTGTAAGTGACAGAACTGATGCTTTATTCATGTTGAGCATTGTTTATGCATACATCTAAGTAAAAAAAAAAAACCTCTGTGCACCTTGATGGTTCTGTATATTGATTCTGAAATACAACAGCCATCAGGTGTGTTAGATAAAATGAGTCTTGTTAAAATAAAAAAAAAGTAAGTTCTTCATATTTGAGCATGTTTAAACAAACATAGTTTAAGGAGAAAGGAGGCTTTATTTTTCTGCAGCTCTCCCAGACAAGCCAGACTTGGTCCTGATACCAGATGATTGATTTTCAATGTTCTGATCTGTAAACTTTATAGCTGACATCATTACACATCATACAGGTTACATTGTCTAAAATATATAAAGGATTAGCCATTTAATGTTTGTTTGATCCACTCTTCTCTCTGTTCTTACTGCCTCTGCAGGCCAACCTGCTCTCCTCCCATCGCAGCCTGGTTTACAGAGTTGAAACAATCGCTCTGGGAGACGAGCCGTGTGACCGTGGAGAACACGTCACTCTCTTCCTCTTCAATGACTGCCTTGAGGTAAATCACACCAACTTCAACTTTTGATCACATTAAGGGTTGAACGACTACATAATTTTTAAACTCGACATTAACATAATAAAACTCGAGTAGAACTCGAGTACTTGATGACATCATAGGATCTAAAGATACAAAAATAAATAAATGTATAAAACCGTAAAAAAGGTCATTATTCACAAAAAAAGACCAACAAAACATTGGGGGCATATTCTATACTCTTACCATTTATCATACTGCAAATAAGTCACAGGAAAAACTAAACTATTAGTTATTATTATTATTAAGCTGCAAAAGTTGAAAGAAGCGTGCAGCACGTCAAAAACGAAACTAAAAACAGTGGGGCAGTCGACCACCCCACCCCACACCACTGCCGGCTATGGTGTGCATTAAGTGTAGTTTTAGAGATTAATATGTTTATAGGGTTTTTATAGGTTTAGAAATTAATATTTTTTGCTTTTTGTTTGTGAAACAAGGTCAGAGGAAGCTGGTTTTGGGGGGGGGGGGGGGGGGCATTACTACAACAACCACAATAAAATGACAGAGACCTTGCAAAAGTGAAAGAATCAAATCTTTATTTGCATTCTTCTTCAAAAGTCTAAAAACCGCAAAACAAAGTTGTGAGGGAGAAATTGACAGTTAGGTTATTCAAAATCAATGAAACAAACAACAAATCGGGGCCTAACTGATGTCTATCGTGGATGGAAGACGATGAAATAATGTCTACCCTGATCTGCTCATCTAAAAACAAGCTCACCAAAACATTACAAGGGTGCCACCAACGTACTTACCTAGTGTGTTTAACAGAGCTCAACCTAAGTGTGGAAGTGTACAGGATATCCCAAACTTGCAGTCCTCTTAACTCCCACCACAAAACTTTAAACCAAGAGAAATTCTCCAGAACAGCAACAAGTGTGCCAAACAGTCATCAGCATGGAGAGGAGGAAAAAATCTGTCCTTCATATGGCAGTCCAGAGTCCCGATTAGTCCTTCCAAACTCTCCAACCTGTCCAAGTTCAAAACTCCAAATTGGCACCAGTCTGCATTCTGAACCTAAGAAGAAACTAACAAGATTTGAAACCACACAGTCCTCAAGACCTCTAACACGGGTTTATAACATTTAGGAGCAGATGTTACGGATTTATTTATTTATTTGTTAAAGCTGAAATCTGCAGGAAATACGTCTTTAAACAACTTTTTTCTATGACAAGCACTGTGCGCTGCAAGACACTAAGCGTGCACAGTGGAGGAGGATGAAGGTGTCCCTGCAGACAATTGTTGTCAGTTCAGTTTGGAATCTGAGCCTGTTGAGGGATCATTGTTATGGAGAAGTACTTGATAAAAGCTGTACATTGATGTCCTCTGTCACTGAGGGATTTGAATAGAATGTAGTTTTTGATATCGGTGTTTCTCTGGACTGGAACTGAACAGGGAACACATGTAAACCTTAATGTTTTTGGTGCAATATATTCAAGTGGGTAGGAGTTACACTGGAGGAGAACAGAGGGAGGTTTTATTTTCTTGTATGAGGCAGCACAGAATGACAGTTCCTGGTGAGTGGAGTATATTTACCCAGGTGTGTGTGTATATATCCATCCAGCGGCCATCTTCTATCGCTTATCCGTAATCTGGTCAGAGGCAACAGGTCCAGGAGAGAAACCCAGACTTCCTTATACCTGCAAATTTGTCTCTTTTCGGCAAAATTAGCCGATTTCAAAACAAAATGACATTTACGCGAATCATCTTGATCCTTATTTTTTTATTTTTTTGTGAGCAGGGTTAGGATGTGTGAGAGAATCGGAGCGGTAAGTCTGTAGCATGTTAGCTAGCACGTCTGTATTTTGGCACATCTAGGTTCAAGGTTTTTTGTCATTTGCATCACATGTGGTGGAATGAAATTGTGTACTCAGAGTTCTAGTTACACCCACAAATATCAAAAATATAAAGTATAAAAAAAGAAACGGTATATACGAGTCTATGATCTACGCTAAACAATAATAATTTAATGTAATACGGTGTATTAAAGAGCAGCCTGAACACGAGTCTGTTGTGAACAGGTGGGTATGAATACAGCAGTATTTGTATTGTGCACATTTTATAACCTGAGCTGAGCTGCTACAATCTCCACTTCATCTGGAAGTGGCGGAGCTGGTTGGGGGCTGGGGTGTTCAGTACGTGGGGCACTCAGTTCTGTTGACTGGGCAGGGCGCCTTTATTGGATAATGGTCAGGGAAACACTGATGTATATATGTGTGTGTATATATACACATATATGTAAATGGTAAATGGACTGTACTTACTGTATATAGCGCCTTTCTATCTAATCAAGATACTCAAAGCGCTTTACACTAAAATCTGTGCCCTCGTTTACCCATTCATACAGCACTCTACTAGATCTCTACAAAGCAGTGTGTGTGTAAAATTCTTACCCATTCATGTCCAGTCTGCCAGTGCAGGCACAGGAAGTGTGGGGTCAGCAGGAGGACATGGACGGCTGTGAAAGAGACGAGCTGAGAGGCTGCGCTGATTCAGGAGTGTCAGTGACACCTAATCAGCCTGTGCCTGTGTGTGTCTGTGTGTTAACATGTGTAGCCTGACAGAGCGTTATATTTCTACTCTCTTGTTTCTCTCCTCGATCATCAGAAACCAGTGATCACGGTTGAACTTACATTCTGGTGTTTGGATTTTGTCTGCTCCATCTCCTTCCCTAATTAATGACATTAATGAGTTGCATTGTTAACTCAATGAAAACATCATTGATTTATTGCCAAGTAACCCACTGCACCTTCACCCACACACCACTACGTGCTCAAAGGATGGATCTTTAAAGTTTGCTCTGGTTACACTTGCCTTCAGATTTCCCGTCTCATTTTGTGCACTTCTGTGCGTGTTTGTGTTTCTGCAGATTGCAAGGAAGCGACACAAAGTGATCAATACGTTCAAGAGTCCTCTGGGACAGACGAGGCCTCCGCCCCCACTCAAGCACATCACATTAATGCCGCTGTCTCAGATTCGAAGAGTGCTGGACCTGCAGGACACAGACGGTACAACTGAAGCACTTGTCCTGAGCTGTGTATAAAAACTAAACTTCTAAAGGTCTTCTAAAAATTTCCAACATGAGAGGACTATGTTTTGCATTATAAACTAAAGGTGTAAAAGAGCAGATAAGTTTGGAGATATCTGGACACTGATGCACATCTTAGAAAGTTATATTTAAGTATTTATTTAAGAACAAGCAGGCTTTAACTGCACAGATTTATTTGAGGGCTGGCTGAGGAATCAGAAGTTGACGTTGCAGTTCATTTGTAGATCCTGTTGATCTTTTCATATCATGCAATCTCTTGATTGTCAGCAAAATATCTCATGAAACACTGAACAGGTTTGAATGAAACTCCCAGTGAGTAACCATTAAATGCACATCTACAACTTATTACCTTCTGGAGTCTTCATTATCTATGTGGCTGGTCCCTCCAAACTTTCTTCAGGAGTTTCTTATTTTTGTCAAACTCTCTCTTTCTTTTTTTATTTTATTTTTATTTGCATGCCCCTCAGAGTGCGTGAATGCGTTCGCCCTGGTGGTTCGTCCTCCAACAGAACAGGAGAACTTGTTGTTCAGCTTCCAGCTGGCTGGAGAGGAAACCGTTAAAAGCACCTGGCTGCGTACACTCTGTCGTCATGTTGCCAACACCATCTGCAGGGCTGATGCGGTGAGAACTCGCTCATGTACACACACAAATGAACAAAACAAAATGGATGACCCGACACATCAATATGAAGAGAAAGAATCTGTAACAGTGTTGTCAGCCTCGGCAAGTTTTTTTTTTTTTTCTCACATGAAGTTGTTTTCCTCTCCACAGACAAATCAGTTCCGTCATATTTCAGTTTCTTTTATCAGCCTGGAAGAAAGTAATACTTTCTTTAACCCTGCTGACTTTATTAGGACAAAGATCAGGAAACCACAATGTCAACCAAAAGTCCATATATAAGCAACATAATGGTCCATGGGGCAAAAGTGGCCCTTGGACATTCTCTATCTTGCTCACAATATTCCTAATTAAAAAGAAAATGAGTTGATGAAAACTTGGAAACTATTAATGAAGCTCAATAAAATCTATATCAAACATCTTCTTTAAATACATAAGATACTTTTGGATATGGAGTTATATCTATGTAGATGGATGGATAGATAGATGCTAACTAAAATATTATTAGTCTTCCAGATGAGCTGTCAAAGAAACATTATTTTACAATTCTCTACGTGCCCCATCAGTTGTCCAAAATATCATGGTGTGAACTTCTGGGGAAAAAAAACAAAAAGTTGTCCAGCCCTGATTTAGAAAAAAGATTTTTGTGTGTGTTTGTGAAGAAATATTAACCATGCAAAAAAAAGACTAATATCTCAGCTCTTCATAATAAAAATATATGTAAAATGTGAGCAAACCTTTTGCTGTTTGAAGTAATTTGATTGTGAGGCTTTCAAACAAATTGAACACAAGTGTAGTAAGAAGGTAAGACCTATTTGTGTGAACATTAACTGTTTCTTTTTTGTTGGCATTACGAAATCTTCGTACTAATATTTTTATTCGCCCGTTGAGTTTGGGACGTATTATGGTGTAATCTTCATCCATCCGTAAACTTTTTCTTGTTCAGCCCGTAACTTTTGATACGCTCAATATAATTTAATAAAACTTGCTATGAATCTGCACCACCATTAGACAGCATGCCACATACACTTTTCATCACCCCATCTTTAAGGTCAAGGGCGTATAATGTGCTATATGTGGTACTCTTGTTTAAATTCATTTGATTTCTGACTGAAACTAACTTATTACTGTGCCAAAAGGCAATGTTCTCAACTTACTGGTCCATCTATGTTCCAACCCTCACCTGTAATCTTGAGGTAAGAACGGTGACCAAAGAACAAGATCCTGGACACAAGCAGCTGTGACGGGCTCCGTCCTTAAGGGGGCCAGGCTCGACCTGAAATGGCAAGTCGTGGCATGAGCAGATTGTCCTATTGAGGGAGTAGAGTTGGTGTTTATAAGTTTATAGCAGTGCTTCAGATGTGCAGCACTCACTGTAGTTCTGCTTTTAAGACACTAGTTGTCCATACTAAAAATAACACGTAGCACGAATGACATCAGAAGACACTGTATGTTTTTTTTAATACAAAAATTAACAGAAAATGTTTGTTATATCTGTAAGTAGTATGTCACCTGGGCTACTCAGTTGGACACTAGTTAAGCTGGATTTATACTTGCAGAGAAGTGTAGAAATTCACTCCCTCTGATGAAGCAGAGAGAAATCTGACATTTTATACTCTAAGAGAAATGCCATTGTCCATCGCCAGAAAGCCACTCATCTTTCAACACTATCTGTGGGACACCAGCTGCAACACAGTGACCACATAGTGTGAAAATCAGCTTAATTTGTGTTCTTATGATGTCAGTATTAAAGTACAGTAATGGGAGTCAACGGGACTGAAACAGACCCAAAGGCACAGATCTCATATTCCATACTCCTTGCAATATGGAGGATCATGAAATTTGAAAGTTTTTAATAAACAAATCCTGGCCAAGTTTCATACAATTTGACTTTAAACTGACTGTAATATTGAGAATGCACAAGTTTGGTCTTTTAAGGTGCCTTAAGGGTTAATGCTGAGGACCAAACTGATCATATTTTGGACAGAAAACAGCATTTTGACTTTCAGTTAAAGTGATTACAACACTGTGACAATCACAAACATGATCGTATTTCATCTGATGGAGGAAAAGAATAGCGTCTTGTTTCAAGATGGGTCAAGTCCAGCACCGCCCACACATTTGTCGCCCTACGATTATTGGATACCAGAACCTAATGTTGGCTCCCTGCAACTAATACTCTCAACATGACCTCTGCTGCACTGGTTCCTGAGCGGCTCACAGAAAAGCCTGGTTGCATTAACCTCACAGACTTTAGATTTCTCACCAATCGCACAATAGATGGAGCAACCCCCAGGAGAACGGAAGAGGTTCTACCAAAACCCCCAAAGAACAGACTCTCTAAGCTCCTAGGAGAACAAGATGACCTCTTTAGTCTCACAGCTGTATCAGAGAGCAGATTACTTCACTTCCCACAGAGTATAAACCCACCTTTAAAGGTCATGATAGAACAATTAGAAAAAGACGGAAAAGTCAGGCTGGTTTGGGAAAGCTGTAGGAGAAAGCATTTCCTCTAAAAAGAATAAGTCGGCATGACTGGTTTGTAAAGATTCATCTGAACAAACTACAAAACTTCCAGAATAATGTCCATTGGTTAAATGAGACTAAAATAAATGTTTGGACAAAGCCAAATACAGAATATCAGAACAAATGAGTCATTCCAGCTTAGCTGAAATGATGTAGTGGGACCTTGAGAGTTGTGCATCAACAAATCCCTGAAAACATTGAAAAAATATAAAGAAGAGTGGGCCTAAACTCCACAGCGATGGAAGAGACTAATAAAAATGTTCTGTTTAGGCAGGTCAATGTCCCTATTTTGAATAAAGACGGACAATTCGAAATGGGCTAAAGGTTGTCGTTACGTCAAAGAAGAAAGTTCAGAGACCTACTGCACTAAAGTGGGATTCATACATCAAGTATACTGGCAGGAAGCTGTACTTGAACAATACTTGAACTCACAAACAAGCTTAATTGGTTGTCCAAACATCAAGCCACACTTTAACAGGGCTGCTAATTGAAGCCAGGTTTCCAACATCTTGGATGAATGCGGGTTCACGGTTTTCCTATGACACACTCGGTGGATCACAGATCTCCTGATTAAACAGCATCCCACTTCCCTCCAACAGAGCAATGGAGGGTCATGGATACATATGAAGAAATGAAACACATGATCACTAAAAGAGAAACGCTGCTGCCGTCATTAAGCAGAGAGAAAGATGGTGGAAAATTAGAGCGGACCGATCGAATGCATCATTAATTTCAAAAGCATCCACTTGTTGCGCCATTGAATCAGTTTCCAAGTTATCTCCAAATTAACAGTTGTATACTCTGCCTTAAAAATGAGCAGTGGAAGTCAGACCCACAGTAGGAAATGAACCATGGTTATTCATTGCACTTTTTTCCTTCTTTCGGCTGCTCCCTTCTTCAGGGGTCACCACAGCGAACTAAGTCGCACAAAGACTTGGCAATTATTTTTACGCAGGATGCCCTTCCTGATGCAACCACAGACCACGTGACCAAGACATGTTTTCTGATAGAAGAGAGCTGACAAAGAGCAGCTGGAACGCTTGACTTGTGTGGCGACCAAAAAGTTACTGACTTTGGGATGTTCACAACGTGCTAAAGCAACATGAAATACCCGTCCCCAGACTGAAAGTACTTAGCTTCATGAAAACCTACAACTTATCTTGACTTTCAGTTAATAAAAAAAAAAAAAAATGCCCATGTGTACTCTTACAGTGGTACTGACCAAAAAACTTTCAGTTTCTCAGTTCTTTTAAATAAAACATGGTTGATTCTTGTTCTTAAACTTTAGTATGTTGGGTATGCATCCATTATATGAGATGTCCACAAAACAAATATATTTCTGCATAAAAATAGAAGCAGAGGTAAATTTAGATGTTTAAGATGACTGATCTATCAGTAAGTGCTTAATGGAATAAATGGAAATGCGAGTTAATGAAAAGTTTTTAATTTTATTTTTTTTAAATTTTCATTCATTATTGATATATTTCTGATAACATTCAGTTTAAAATGCACATTAAAAAATAGCTGAAAATGCACCAACCAATAATTTGGGTTGCAAACATTAAAGGCACAGGATTGCTGTTGGCGTAATTAATCGAGCCAGCAGCAGGGGTTGACGTTGTCTTGTGTCTGCCTGCCACCACACAGCTGCATTTCTAATTCTTTTTTTCCACTGGGTCAGAGCTACGGTGTGAATACCAACGAGACTGAGCTGTGCTTGTTAAACAGCCCTGTGCAGGGTGAGGGCCAGAGATAAATTTAAGACTCTGTGTGAATTTTACACATCCCATCTCACAGATATTCCCCCCAATAAGAGCACAGTGTCCATCTGCACCAGTTCTATTCTTCAAGTTTAATTTTGGTATGAAGTTTGAAGGTGTGTTACTCTGTCTTGTAACCAGGAGGATTTCATTCAGTGCACAGAGCCAGATTCCCTACAGGTCAGCACCAAGGATATGGACAGCACACTAAGCAAAGCATCCAGAGCCATCAAGAAGACCTCAAAAAAGGTAACATCAGTTTCTTATGACTAACTACACCATGTGTGCAAACCAATGCTTAATTTGAGCCGGATCCTACCGGAACAGGATCCAGGGACTCCCTTATTTTAACGGTGCGTTCCAGTAACTCTTTGCTTGGATCCGGGAACTCAGGCTTACTAATAATAAAGTTATGAACAAATATGACTTCTTTGAACAAATTAAACTTATCTTGGATATGTAATCTGAAAATAATTACATAAACACTCATTTTAAACACAACAACATATGATCTGCTTCTTCAAATAGCATTTCCGCGTAGTCCCAAAAAGCAGTGGGGGTGAGTCCCGAGCTAACCAGGCAGGAGCTCACAGGCAGGCGCCTGGAGGTTCACATGTAGAGTCGTACAACAACGAGCAGGGACGGAGTCGGACTTGATTCCGAGCCCGACTTACTTGATGTGAGTGAGTAGGGTGGGGATGCTTGACAGAAGCTGAAATTTTACAATTGTAGGTAAACGTAGATGTTTAACAACCTGTTAAAATAGACCAAAATGCAGGAAACTGCATCTGTTTTATTCAAAATTGTCTGAGGGAGGACCCCCCCCCCCGGCCTACATGCCATTTGCGCGCCGGTATCGAGCAGTTTACAAATTAAGCCCTGGTATAAACCTACCTGGAAACTGAAACTATGACCATTTTACCACTTAGATCATTCAAACTGAAACATGTTCTATCCACTTCACCATAAAACCTTTAAAAACTTCCTGGGTGTTACTCTTGATGAAAATGTAAACTGGAAATCACATTGGATTATTATATAAAGTGAAAGACTCATTAAATGATGAAGCATTGTTGATATTGTAAAATTCACTCATCGTTCCCTATTTGACCTATTGTGTAGAAGTTTGGGGGAATGCCTGTAAATCATATACAAATTCCATTTTTATTCTGCAAAAAAGGGCTGTTAGAATTATTAGTGGAAAACACTACAGAGATCCAACAAATCTATTGTTCTGTAAGTTAAAACACCACTTGCTCTTGCTGAGATCAGATGCTTCTCCCCTCCCTCTCTGCTTTGCTGCTCTGTCTGTCAGTGAAACTACTTGTGAGACTCTCTTGCATTTCTTCTGAACCATAATTATGGACTTTTGATCAGTTGGTCCCTCAACTCCATTTACAACATTTCTTCTAAGAGAAGACAAGCTTTAGGCGAGCCGATTTGCCCTGTTGGCACGCACGCAGCTGGATATCTCATCGACTTGGAAGACTTGATGAATGTCTATCTCTGCTGCCATTTGTGGATTGTAAGGACGCATATTTAATTGGATTTTCGATAACTGGTTCCTGCTTTTTGAATTTGGCTGGTTGCTGGTTTTCTCAATCGATCAAGGAAGTCTTCGGCAGCAAATTTGGACCCGATCACGCTGGTTTGGTTCGTGTCTCGAGTACCCAAACTCAAATGCTTTGGGCAGAATGGATCAGATCTTGGGGATTTTACTCAGTCACGTTCCATCGGTGTGACCATGTAATTTGGACATTTCGGAACCGAGTGGACCAACACAGACTCAAGGTAGATGTCATTAAGTTCTGCCTGTCCCCAAGACAACTGTGTGTTTATCTGAATTTGGCTCCCTTGGCTGGCTTGAAGGTCATCTTATCTGAATTCACCTGGAGAACGTGATCAGACGCTCACCACCCCCTCCCTGAGGAATTTCCAACTGATAACCAGATGAAACCAGCTGAATAAACTTTGTGTCATCATTTCAGGACTCTTGGATTCTCATAGACGTTATTCTTGGCCATTCCTCGACATACCTCGAGAATGTTTATGGATCACATTGGAGGACACTGGCTAATTATTCCATCCTTATCAGAACTCAGTGACCTTGGGAGCGTCTATGAACATGCTCACCACTGTCAGCTCCCCCTCTGCAGAATGTCTGTCACTATGTGTTTGTTTGTGCGAGGTTTTTTTTAATATTAGAGGTTTTTTTTCTCTCAGGCAGGAAAAAAAAAGTCTGATAGGAATTTTTTCGCCTCCAACTCCTACATTTGTCCATTTTACCACTTTTTTGTCTGTCCAAACAGGTCTCACTTGTAAATGAGTCTTTTAGGCTCAATGTCATTTATCTGTTTAAATAAAGGTTGAATGAATGAAAAAAAATTTTTTAATGAAATTTCACGACTTGGTGGACTATTATATTCTGCAAGTTATGTTTAAAATACATAACAGTATGTTACCGATGTGTTTGCAAAAACTATTTATTAAAAGAGAAAGCATTTATAATTTGAGAGGATCAGAGATTTCTTTTTTTTTTTTTTAACCCAAAGTCCGAACTAAACAAATTGATCGTTGTATTTATGTTTATGGAACAAATTTGTGGAACTGTCTGTCTAAAGAAACCAAAGAGAGTAGATCTATTTTTACTTTTAAGAAAATAATAAAATATAATTTTCTTTCAGGTACAATGAAGTATATTGATTCAGAGTTCTGCATCATAACAAAGATAATGTGTGTTTTTTGTTTGTTTGTTTTTCTTTATATACACAGTGCCTGTTTTGTGTTCAAAGATGTGTCTATATGGAGGGTTTATTGAAACTTGGTTTCTTGTGGTGTAGTAGATTGACTTTTGGGAAAAGGGGTAGACTATATAAGATTTTTTTCTTCTTCTTCTAACTACTCCTTTTCATTCAGAACTTTTGTTTTACGTCAACATGTGACACATTTATTTTAAACTGTAAATTAATGAAAAAAAAAGTTTACATGGGGATTGTAAAACAAAACCAAAAGAGTGGTACACCGATGTCCTACGCCTCTGGGGATTTAATTTATAAATGTTTGTAGTTTTGGAGAGGATAATTTTTTTCTGGATTGGACTCGAATAGGGATTGAAGTAAGCCTTAATGTTTTTAGTGCAAGATATTCAAGTCGATAAAAGTTGCACAATGGAGAAGAACAGAGGGAATTTTTTTTATTTTTGTTTCCCTTGTCTGAGGCAGCACTGAGTGCTAGATCTTTGAGATTTGATGGAGCAGTTTTGATCCACCACCAGGTGCAATGGAGGAACTATCACTCCTCAAATGATTGGGGTGGCCAAAGATTAATCTATGGTGGCCAATAAAATAAATATGCTCTTGTTTTGTGTGTTTTAGGTCACCAGAGCGTTTTCTTTTACTAAGACTCCTAAACGTGTGATCCAGAGAGCCTTCCTCGCCAACAGCACTCCGGATGACAAGAGCCAGAGGTTGACTTGTGAAAACCGAGTCTGCAGCAGCTCCACTTTGGCTGTAAGTCTTCTGAGCTCATTAATCTGTTGCTGGGGAAATGAGTACTGTAAACTTTGATAATTGCATGAATCTACACATTTAAATTGTGGCTTTTTGTTTGTTGCACTGTACATTATGTTGCTGAGTCACACAAAGATGCAGTTCTTGTCAAAGGATACTGTTGCCTTCAGGCTGGTCAAACTATTTTGCAGATCAGCTTGACATCGATGTAGAGAGTTTTCAACCTCATGCAACCATTAAAAGTATAAATTTATAAATATGCACGAGCCATGACCATTTCCATGGCTTCCATCTGCAAAATTGAGACTTTTACCTATTCTGTTTGAAAGGTTGGGGAAGCAACACTTTCTTGTCAAAGGCTGCACAGGAAGAGGATATTCAGTATTTCATTCAAATAAGACTTTGGGGACTAAATGAGCAAAGAGAGGAGTCAAAATGCTGAGAACAGTGGCCAAAGATGTCCTTGCATCTGACCCACTTTCCTCAGTGGTTCCACCACTTTGTTTTTGGTTACGTAGAGTGTGACTATGGCTCTTTGACAGAGGATAGTCACGTTCAATCATGGTTTCAAAGCATACAACGTAAGGTAAGTTTTCACTGGGTTTTGACTGTTGAAGAGTAGTTGGATCTTAAAATGGTGGGGGGGTTGAGTATTCAGTTGCAGTCTATCCAAGTTGAGTTTTTTGCAACCAGACAGCTATGTGAGCCAGTTTACTTTTTTAAATCGGGACCTAATGTTGTCGTCTTGGTTTTGTTCTAGGTTGTGTTCATTATTGGATGCCCAGCCTGGTGGAAAGGTGTACACAACTTGCATATTGTGTGGCTCACTTTACAAGTTGAAGCTGATTAAACACCAGCTCTCAGTGCAGACTGTGGCTCTGTTGTGTGCATGTCGTCGTCACTTCCTTTAGCATTTCTCATGGTGTTAAAACCATTAATAATCAGTTTTTGACATTTTATAATTGATTCAGAATTATGTCCACTATGTACATGTAAGGAGGTTTGCAATCTGTAATGTACATACCAGGTACGTGCATTACAGGTCATTTCACCCCACCCCTAGTTTCAGATGCCTAGTAGAAGAACTGTTTAAATTTCGGCCTGAATAGATCAAATGTGACTTGAAGCTCTGCTGCTTTTTTATGTTGGAGGAAATAGACACAACTCATTTAAATTTTGACAGTTTCCACTGAGCTAAGACACCTTCTCTAAATGTTATAAAAGTGGAAATGCCTCCAAACACTTGTGTTTTAAGAAGCTGTTTGACATGATTTTTCAAAAAAAATCTCCACTCTTTGGGTTGTGTAGGTTCGGATAGAGAATGCTTTTATTTATATGCCTGTTAAAGGCAGACATACCATGGTAGAGTCTCCGTCTGTACATAAACTTTCTCTTGTCCCACCTATATTAACCTATAACAGCCTTTTGTGTAAGCTTGTCATCACCCCAGCTCCAAGGTCAAGGATACAATTGAAGGTCCAAGTTTACAAGGTCTTTGCCTGTCTGGACCATTGCTGTATTTGTTTGTCGACAGGCATATAATGTGCCATATGCTGTACTTTTGTTTACTTCTTTAACCTAAACCATTTCAAATGATGGCATTGAATAACTTGTCCTGAATAACATGTCTTTTTTTTATATGTTGTATAAGAGCTGCAGAACTAATGAGCATCAGCACCACATCTTTAGATTATACGAGAATCAATCCAGTATGCAGTCTAAGCATTGACATCAGTGTGTATCTCTGTCAGCAATGGTAACATTAGATAAAATGTTACATGGGTATTGGCAAACTGTTCAGTACATCTAAGGTAGCACCTTATCTGGAGTATAAATTTAAGAACAAAGCCTACCCAGGCTCTTACAGCTCCAAAGACATCAATAAATCATTAACCACACTGATGGACTGGTTCAGTCAGACTGGTGAATTGTATTACCCCCTCTGCAATATTTTACTCTTTCCCAGAAATAAATTTAAAGGACCTACATGAAGTTAGCCTTTGATTTAAAGCTTAAGTTTCCATAAAGAAAAGAAAATATATTCCCCCTTTCTTCTACAATGTGAAATCCAAATTTCAGCCGCACTTTGTCAGAGCCGTAGCTCTTAGCTGTATTTAGCCAAACATACATTTTAGGTCTCTACTGGAATGAATTTCTGGCAGTACGTTTTTGTAAAATCTTTGCATTCCCGACATTGCAAGTGGCTGTTTTTAATTATTTCCAAACAGCAGAAATGTTGCCGCAGTCCTCGTTTTTCTGCAGCAGCCTTGTTCCAGTGGAGATGAGCTCAAATAAAAACTGGAAACTGGCTGCACTCGGTGCTCTGTCCAAAAAAATAAAACCTCAAGATTTTTACTGCAGTCTAAAGTATTTGATTGGTTATTCCAAGTTAGGATGACTGATAAGTAATAAACAAATCAATTTATTACATTGGCATCTGAAAGTGAATAGGTTGCACAGTGCTTTGTAAAAAAATATTCTCTCTTGGTAATGTTTTTATTTTGGTGCCCTTGCAAGCTGAAATTTTTCAAAACTTACAAAAAAAAGTTAAATTGGGAAAACTTGTTTCAAATAATTGTACAAAATATTAAAGTGACCAAGGCTCTTTGTGCCTCTTGTGTTCAGCTCCCAGAACTCAATACTTTGTGTCGTCACCTCAGCAGCAGTTCTAGTGCTAACTGCTGTCAGCTGCGTCTTCATGGTCTTTGTCCGTCTAAACATCTCCAGCTTCTTCAGCCTGGATGGGTGCTGCTCGTGTCCCACAGTCGTCAAATCAAACCACAGCTTCTCAGTTTCACTGAGTCTGGGCTCTCACTGTACCATTCTAGGACCTTAAATTGTTTTTTCTTTAAACGAGTGGCGTATACCCTCAGCAGTGTGTTGAGGCTCGTCCTGTTAGAAAGTGGACCTCTATCTGTCTTAAATCCTTGGACAACTCTGTTTTTCCTCAAGCATGTCTGTGTTTTGCTCCATCTTTCATTGAACTCATTCCCACACTTTGATACTGCCGCCACCATGCTTCATGGTGATGGGTGGTCTTCACAGCAAAATGAAGTAGACATGGTGTCCTCGTTGTCCAAAAGGTTTGAGTTTTCTCTCATCTGACCACAGCTCCTTCTTCGTGTTTGGGTAAGAAATTCCCAGCAGCCCAGCTGTTTTTAATTTTTATTCAAATTATTTTTCCTGTCATTCTGCGTTGAAGCCCAGCTCTGTGCAAGTTATTGTGGTCTGATGGACAGAGCCTCCCATGACTGCAGAAGAGTTGCCCGCTCCTGAGCTTCGAGGACAGATGTAGTAGTTGGGTCTTTAAAGCAAATGGCTGAATTTATAAGCACTTGTCACTTTTCTTACTATTCATGAATTATTTAAAAGAAGTTGGTCCACATTTAACTTCATTTTTGAAGAATTTCATTTTTGCCACTCTTAAAAAAAGTATTCAGTTTTTATTTCTGTATGTTATCTTAAAAGCAAAGGTCAAAGGAAAAGTTCACAAGACAGTGGTGAGACCAGTTATGTATTATGTTCTGGAGACAGTGGCATTGACAAAAAGACAGGACAAAGAACTGGAAGTGGCAGAAATGAAGATGAGGTTCTCCTTAGGAGTGACAAGGATGGATAAGATTAGGAATGAGATCATCAGAGGTACAGCACAGGTTGAACAAGTGGGAGATAAAGTTGGAGAGACCAGACTGAGATGGTTTTGGACACATCAAGAGGAGGGACAGTGGGTATATTGGTAGAAGGATGTTAGAAATGCAGCTGTCAGGAAAAAAGACAAAGAGGAGATATATGGATGCAGTTAGAGAGAACATGGAGGTAGTTAGAGTGAGGACAGAGTGAGATGGAGGAGGAGGACTCACTGTGGTGACCCCTCAAGAGGGAAAAGTTGAAAGTAGAAGATGATGTTATCTTAAAAGCTTTTTTTAAACCAGCAAATGGAAAGTGACAGGACTGCCTACCTGTCCTACCACCACTCTAACTTCTCTACCTGAGCTTGGTGTTTACCAGCCTCGCACCATAAATGAACTGTATTCAGGTGCTTGTTGCTCATCTCGTCCAGAACTCTGATTACCAGTGCTGATTGATGAAAGACATCAATTTATGAACACAGTGAATGAAATAATTTTGTTGGTCTGTTGTTCCTGTTTTGTGCTTCAGATGTCTCGCTCTTCCTCCACATTCAGTTTGAATGATTCTGCCAAAACCAGTGCCGTGGTGCAGCGCTCCAACTCCCTGGATCAACCATCACTCAGAACCAGGGTTCCAGTGTTCATTTGTACTCCCTGTACCCCAGCCAAAATCCCTGCCCACAGCACCTCCTCCCAGTTCAACTCAGAGTCCAGCAAAGACCTCATTCTCAACTGTTGCTCTGTTGAGCAGGAATCCAAGTGCATTTCCCCTTCTCCATGCACGGCCCAACCTAATTTCAGTGTCTCCAGTCCTCAGAACGTCACCTCTGTAACCCAAGTGACGTCTACTTCCAGTCAGGCTGTCCAGTGCTCCATTCAGCGCAGAAATCTCCATCAAAAGTCAAGCCGTGATGTGTCCAGACCTCTGTCTACTGCAAATTTTCAGTCAAGATCCCCAGCCTCCCAGCCTGACAATGTGAAAATCAAGACCTTTTCTGAGTCACACAAGGATCTGCAAGTGCTTTTGGAGCCGTGCAAGGCAGTCCTGACCAGTCCTCGCAGAGAGACGCTTCTCTAAACCATCACTCGGATCTGTCCGGGAGTTTCATGTGAGCAGACTCGGTTCTTGTCTTGGCTAAGGTTGCACCAATATCACTTCTAACTTAAAAATAACCTTCACAGCATTCTGTCTGTTTACATTTGTTTTTTTAACATTTAAGCATCACTGGTGCATTTCTGGTCTCAAATCAACCCCTTCAAAACTCAGACCCTGCAACAGCTGTAGGTCAAACAGAGGATCCTCACAATTTAAATAAGGTGCATTTTTGTTGTTTCTGCCTGTTGGAAATTGGCATAAATGTAGAAAAAGACAAAGTTTTAAGGGTTGATTTGGAACAGTGGTTCTGATGAAGTGTGCGGGACTTACTGGTGGTGGTGGTGTTGGATGGACATATTCACACGGTGGATGCTGGTCGTTGTTACTCAATATGTAATTTACAAAAGACTCTGGTTCAATCTGACTAATTTAACATTTGACAAAGGTCTTTGTCTTAGGAGCACTAATACGAGGGAAAAAGCTTCTTTAAAGTTATGTATACAGTTTTTTGTCCTTTTAAACACCCTATGTATTTTCATTTAGTGCAGACAAATGAAGATCATTTAGAAGCTAGACTTTTTTTAATCAGAAATTGGCAAAGTTGCCTTTCATTATGGCTCTTTCACCTTCAACAGCAGGTGAGAACATTTAAGTGTGGTGATGTTTAATGTGCAGAATCCTCTGTAATCTGTTATCAGATTTTCCCACCCACAAATCGTAAAGGGCTCATCTGGATCAGGTGGACTGATTGAAACATGAACGTCATGAAACCAGTGTATGTGTTGTTACGCATGTTTGGAAACCGCAACAAACTAAAACAAATTGTTTCATTTAATTTCAGATTTAGTATTGGCTGTCTTGTTTTGGAACAAATAATGTTTTAATCTAATCCAGCTTTATTTAAGGAGTATGTTCAAACAGCCACAAAGTACCAAATGTGCTGTACAGACCAAAGAATGAAGCAGAAGCCCAATGGGCATGAGAATGAACACCATGAGAGAGGGCAGGGGCCATTAGCCTCGTCTGGAAGAAGACTTCTGCCTTCTCTTCACAATACTCCCATGTTCTGTGGCTTTAAGATATTAACTGTTCCCAACCTCTCCACAGAACCCCACTTTAAAGAATCTGTCTGTTGGTGCATGATGACTTAAACAATAAGTAACAATGTCCATTTTTGCTGTGTGACTGCATCTAGGTATAAGAAAGGTCCCTATCAAAAATTAGGTTTCCACGTCCAAGTCAAGAGATGACCACCACCATACTGTGTATGTATGTAAGCTGACTACCCCAATTATTTGAGGAAACTATGGTTTCTATTTGTCTTTAAATATTTGTTAAAGTATAGTTTCCTCAAATGATTGGGGTGGCTGAAGAATAATCTGTGGGGGCCACGGTCACCATCGCCCACCACCTGGCTCCACCATTACACCTGGTGCTGGATAAAATTGCTCCTTCCACTCTACAGGATTTGTCACTCTTCACTGCCTCGGACAAGAGGGGGGATAAAAACCTTAAAGTCTGATAGTCATGTCCTGCCATTTTAACTCAGTTACCTCATTTGTTGACTCAGAGGTGTAACAGCAGCAGGTTAACTGTTTGGGCCACCTTGGACCTTACTCAAATCACACAAAGTGACACACGGGTTAGGGTTAACCTAACCTGTCTCTGTTGTCCATTGTTGTCATTCTTTGTTGAAATCAGGTCTCTCTTGTAAATGAGTCCTCGAGGCTCAGTGGGATTAACCTGTCTAAATAAAGGTTGAATGAAGATGGGAAGAAGGCGTCTCAGACACTGCTTGAAAGTGTTTTTGTAAAAGAGGCTCTTGGTGAGTTTATCCTAATCATCCTGAATTTCTCAATCCATAGTCCAAACTAAAAAAGCCTCTGAGGTGAGAAGAAACAAGAGATAAAGCTCAATGTACTTTTAATTTAATAATAATAATTACTATATTGTATTTTGATTATATTAAATTATTATATTAATATTATTGTAAACAATTCAATGGATGTGTCTGGTGGCTCTCTGGCTGGAGAGAAGAAAAAAAACTGTGTTTAGAAGCAGCTCTGACTCGGCACTGGAACTGCTTTGGGTGAAACTGGACAAAAACAAGCGGCCTTACAGGAGTCTAGGTTTCCTTGTATTTTATCAAGTAACACACCTAAAGAAATCTCTTTCCAACTTCAGATAAAAATAACATTTGAAAGTATCTGTATTCCTATTCATTGTTGTTGATGTTTATTTGTGTTTACAGGCGCACCATTCCCCATCTATGGTCCATCTTCCATCCATGTTTGAGAGGAAGTACCACACATTCAGCCGCTCCAGCACCCATCTCTTCTGAAACACCACATAGTGGTGTCAGCAGTGTTGCTTCCTGTTTTGTTTTTTGTTTTTAATATATATAATTTATGTTTAAATTTTTTGTATTTTATTTTTTAATTTTTTGCCATTTTGGATTTGTCTACCTCCAACAATGAGATCAGATCAGATTTAGAAAACGACGAGCCCGTTAAAGTCCACACTGAATCTCTGCACGAACTCTCCACATTCAGAGTTTGTCAGTACTTTGAGGGAATAAAAAAATGGAAGGGACATACTGATATTTGCCAGTATCAGAACTGTCGAGCTTCCTCGTAGAAAACCTGGTCAAAGTTGGATGGAAACAATAAACTAGCTATGCACTGTTCGTTCAACTAATATGTACGGTGGTGTGGTGCATCTTTCCAAACATGTTGATGCTAATGATGACGCTAATATCTAATACTAACCAGAGTGGTACTGTGTTGCAGTTAGGACTGCAGGGGTCAAACTCTGTGAATCTAATGAGGTTCACTATATGTTTTTACTGTTTAAATGAAGGATACTCTCGTGTTACTTTGAGTTAATGCCTATCCTTGTCTTTTTCATTATCCGTTTGATTTTCTGGTCCTTTCCTGTAGTTTAGATGTGTTGACTTCAACAGTGGAGGGAGGTAACATTTGTTGAAACATGTTTCCAAGTGTCTGATTATTTCATTTGGGGTGTTTGTATTTAATGATTAAACTCTGTTGAGTCTATTAGCTAAAGATGCAGAGTTTAGTCAGGTTTCTCTTTGGTTTTTATGACTTGTTTTTAATTATCTTTGAGAGAATCCTTTATATTTACTGACATTTTATATTTTATTTGTAGTAGGGTTGACAAATTCACCTGATGACATCTGTTAATCTATACTTTTCAAGTAAACGTCTGACAGTTTCCAGCTTTTATAAAGCTCTTTTGTCCTTTTGAGAAATTTGCTTGTGAAGAATAAATCTTTGCTTTTCCTCAGTGTAAACCTCTCCACGTCTTTGTGTTTGTGAAGGGAGGTTTGTGTCCAAAATTACTCTTTATGAATACATAAAACCTTTATCTTTGCTTTTATGTTCTTTCCACTTGTATGCCTGTCATTTTTAAAGCCCATTTTGCTGTTTAATGTATCTCTAGTTATTTTATTTCCATATTAAATGCACTTAAACATGTTTGTTTTTACTTTATTTAATCACAGGACTAACCATTCTAAAATACATTATTACACTTTATTTGTGCAGTCCCAACAGTTATCCCAAGGCACTAAACAACAAAAATAACAAGATGTTGTGAACAGACGCACATGCAAATCTAATTCCAGTAAATTCAGATTAATTTAAATATGATATAATCACAAAAGCATTAGAAGTAAGATTTTAAATTTTCTTCTGGATTTGACAGGGAGCCAATGGAGAGAAGCTAAAATTGCAGAGCTGATCTCTTCTAACTCATTAAAACTCAGGAAGCAGGTTTTTGGCTCAACTGAAGACTTCCTAAATAAGTTTTTGTACACCCAGATAAACCATAGCTATAGTCCAGTCTAGACGTGATAAACGCATGAACCAGTTTTTCTGCATCATTTTTGGACAAGATGTTTCTAGCTTGTGATATTACACAGGTGGATGAAAGCAGTCCTAGTAACATTTTTAATGTGGAGGTTAGAAGACATGTCCGGATGAAAAAAATATATATATTTTTTTAAATATTCGATCTGGAGGCTAAATTAATGCCATCCAGAGGAAGTGAAAGACTGCAAATTTTATTTTCAAGAGTCCCAGGTCTAAAAGCCACAACTTCTGTCTTGTTTGAATTTAAAAGCAGAAATTTAAGTTAGCCAGGTTTTTTTAAGACGTGCTTGTAATGTAAGTAACAGATTGGATTATTCAGGTTTCATAGATAAATATAACTCAACATAATGACAATTTATATTGTGCTGTCTAATAACTTTACCTAATAGAGTATTGGTCCAAGCACTGAATCTTGAAAATATCCATGACTAACTTGTGTATGATAAAGATTCATTAATACCATGAACAAACTGGAATCTATGAGATAAAAAATGATTTAAACCATTTTAGAGCAGTTCCTGTAATCCAAATATCCTGTTGAAAATGTGCTAATATTGTGTTCATTCTTATGAACTGCAGCCCTGAGAGCTGGCAGGACAAGTATAGACACAAGTACACTGATGTGACAAGTATGTACACAAGTTCATAGACAGGGCCAACAGTCCACTGTCTGACAGGACTAGTATGGACAAGTCCACTGTCTGATGTGAAAAGTATGGCCACAAAGTCCACTGTCATGCAGGACAAGTAGGACACAAGTCCACTGTCTGACATGACCGATTTGGACATATCCTCTGTCTTAAGCCATGAGAACGTCGTCAGTCATGTTCACCAGAGCTGTTTCTGTGTCATGATAGCTCTAAACCCTGACTGTGATCTTATATTTTGTTTCTTGGTCATGCTAAGTGCTTCAAGTCAGTTTAGAGATAATTTCCTCATGTCATCCAACATTTTTCAGTCAGGTCATCTGGGCAGTTTTTTTTTTTTTTTTTTTTTTTTTTTTTT